AAAATTTGTTCTAAGTCTCTGAAGAAAGTCCATGGTATTTTGATAGGGATTGCATTATACATGTAAAGTGCCCTGGGCAACATTGACATTTTCACAATATTAATTCTGCCAATCCATGAGCATGGAATATTTTTCCATCTCTTTGTGTCTTCCTCAATTTCTTTCAGAAGTGTTCTATAGTTTTTAGGGTATATTTTGAGAACCATTTGAATGGTAAATGGTTCTCCAACCTTTTATTTTCAGGTTGTAGGTGTCCTTCCGTCTAAAATGAGTCTCTTGTAGACAGCAAATAGATGGGTCCTGCTTTTTTATCCAGTCTGAAACCCTGCGCCTTTTGATGGGGTCATTAAGCCCGTTCACGTTCAGAGTTACTATTGACAGATATGAGTTTAGTGTCATCATGATATCTATTTAGTCCTTGTTTTTGTGGATTGTTCCACTGAACTTCTTCTTAAAGGGGAATTTTAAGAGTCTCCCTTAAAATTTCTTGCAGAGCTGGTTTGGAGGTCACATATTCTTTCAGTTCCTGCCTGTCTTGGAAGCTCTTTATCTCTCCTTCCATTTTGAATGAGAGCCTTGCTGGATAAAGTATTCTTGGTTGCATGTTCTTCTCATTTAGGACCCTGAATATATCCTGCCAGCCCTTTCTGGCCTGCCAGGTCTCTGTGGAGAGGTCTGCTGTTACCCTAATACTCCTCCCCATGAAAGTCAGGGACTTCTTGTCTCTTGCTGCTTTAAGGATCTTCTCTTTATCTTTGGAATTTGCAAGCTTCACTATTAAATGTCGAGGTGTTGAACGGTTTTTATTGATTTTAGGGGGGGAATCTCTCTATTTCCTGGATCTGAATGCCTGTTTCCCTTCCCAGATTGGGAAAGTTTTCAGCTAGCATTTGTTCAAATACATATTCTGGCCCTCTGTCCCTTTCGGCGCCCTCGGGAACCCCAATTAAACGTAGGTTTTTCTTCCTTAGGCTGTCATTTATTTCCCTTAATCTGTCTTCATGGTCTTTTAATTGTCTGTCTCTTTTTTCCTCAGTTTCCCTCTTTGCCATTAACTTGTCTTCTATGTCACTCACTCGTTCTTCCACCTCGTTAACCCTCGTCGTTAGGACTTCTAGTTTGGATTGCATCTCATTCAATTGATTTTTAATTTCTGCCTGATTGGATCTAAATTCTGCAGTCATGAAGTCTCGTGAGTCCTTAATGCTTTTTTCTAGAGCCACCAGTAGCTGTAGAATAGTGCTTCTGAATTGGCTTTCTGACATTGAATTGTAATCCAGATTTTGTAACTGTGGGAGCGAGGGTTGTTTCTGATTCTTTCTTTTGAGGTGAGGTTTTCCTTCTAGTCATTTTGCTCAGTGCAGAGTGGCCAAAAACAAGTTGTATTGGGAAAAGGAGAGAAAGAGAGAGAAGGAAAGAAAAGAGAAAGAGAAAAAAGAAAAAGAAAGAAAAAGGAAAAAAAGAGAAGAAAAAGAAAGAGGTGAAAAAAGGGGGTGGGGGTGGGGGAAGCAATCAGAAATCAAAAAGAAAAAAAAAACCATGGGGGAGTATATTCTGATTCTGTAGACTTTAAGTCCCTTGACTTCCCCTGGAACTGGTCCGTCCAGCTGGTCTTCTGGGGGAGGGGCCTGTTGTGCTGATTCTCAGGTGTTAGCACTTGGGGGAGCTGCTCTGCCCCTGCCTGCTGCAGGGCTCAGTGGGGGTTGTTTACCCCATGAGGCCCCAGGAGGAACAGTCGCAGTTGCTATGGCAACTCTGGAAGCCTGGATTCAGCCTCCGCAGTAACTACGGGGCTCTCCGTCCGCAGGGCCCGGAGGCTCCGGGGCGGGGCCGCTGATCTGCTCAGCTCGCGGCAGGAGCGTCCTTGCTGTCCTGGGCCCTCCCGGCCTCTGCCTGTCCCAGGGGAGGCCGGATCCTGGGCTGTGTCCCGCCGCCCTGTGCTCCGGGGCCTGCGCTGTTGGATTCGCGCTCCCGCCCCGCAGCCCCCTCCGCGGAGCCGCTCCCGCGCCCCTCCGAGCTGCTCCGGCCCCGCCGTGCGCGCTGCAGCCCTTAGGGAGCTCGGAGCACTCTCCCGGGGCGCAGGTGTCTGTTAGTGTCCCCGGGAGCCCGAGGGCATCCCCGCCCTCCTGGGTCCTGCTCCAACTCCCTGCGGGCCCCTTTCCGCCCGGGAAGGTTGGTGCAGCTCCTGCTCCTCCGGGACGGGGTCTCCTGTCCTGGGGACACTCGCCCCGGCCTCAGCCCGGCTCCTCGCGGGGCCCCTCCCCCTCGGAGGCCTTTTGTTTCTTTATTTCTTTTTCCCCGTCTTCCTACTGGATAGAAGCGCGGACTCTTCTCCCTGTAGCGTTCCAGCTGGTCTCTCTTTACATCTCAGGCCGAATTCGTCATTTTTCAGGATGGTTTGAAGGTTATCTAGGTAATTTGGTGGGGACAGGTGATTTGGGGACCCTGCTCTTCCGCCATCTTGCCCCTCCTCCCTATATCATATTTATATCAACTATAAGGTATTTAATAATACAAGATTAGAAAGCATAATAAAACGAAACTGACCCCTGCCTATTAAGCTCCCTGAATAACTCTCTGAATGCATGCTCTCTCTACTTAGTAGAGAAAACCAGTATCTTTTATGTTATTTCAGTGCATTTCTTCATACTTTCATTATGTATCACTAAAAATAAATACTATTTTTGTGCTTTTACATTTTATATAAATGATATAAGCTGCTACTGAGTTCAACTTCTGTTTTTGCACAAGATGATGCGTATAAGATTCAACCATGTTGACCTATAGTCCCAGCTTTTTCATTTTTACCACTTTGTAATATTCCATTGTACTAAAAATGTCATTATTTATTTATCCATTCTCCTATTGATGGAAATATGAATTGTGTACTTTTTCCTATTGCATAAGATGCTTTTATTAAGATTCTTAATGTGTGCATATCTTCATATTTTCTAGGCAATATTACATTGGCCTCCAAAGTCAGACAAATCATGCTCTTACCAAATGCTGGGAATACAATTCTAGGTTAATGGGTTTTTTTTTTCTTAAGTTTTTATTTTAATTCCAGTTGGTTAACATACAGTGTTATTTTAGTTTCAGGTGTACAATATAGTGATTCAACACTTCCATATATCATCTGGTGCTCATGATAACAAGTGCACTCCTTAATTCTCACCACCTATATAAACCAGCCCCCCAGGCCCTCTCCCCTCTTGTAACCACCAGATTATTCTCTATATTTAAGAGTCTGTTTCTTGCTTTGTCTCTCTCTTATTTTTTCCCTTTGCTTGTTTGTTTTGTTTCTTAAATTCCACATGAGTGAAATCAATATAGTATTTGTCTTTCTCTGACTCATTTATTCTCTGACTTTGCATTATACTCTCTAGCTCCATCCATATTGCAAATGTCAAGATTTCATTCTTTTTATGGCTGAATAGTATTCCAGTGTGTGTGTGTGTGTGTGTGTGTGTGTGTGTGTGTGTGTATACCACCTCTTCTTTATCCATTCATCAATTAATGGACACTTGAGCTGCTTCCATATCTTGGCTATTGTAAATAATGCTGCTATAAACATAGCAGTGCATGTATCCTTTTGAATTAGTGTTTTTGTATTTTTGGGGTAAATAGTAGTGCAATTAGCGATTATAGGGTAGCTCTATTTTTAAAATTTTAAGGAAACTACATGCTGTTTTCCACAGTGTCTGCACCACTTTGCATTCCCACCAACAGTGCACGAGGTTTCCTCTTTTTCCACATCCTCAACAATACCTGTTGTTTCTTGTGTTGTTGATTTTAGCCATACTGTTTAGTGTGAGGTGATATAGCTCATGATGGTTTTGATTTTCATTTCCCTGATGATCAGTGATGATGAGCATCTTTTCATGTTTCTGTTGGCCACCTGTATTTCTTCTAGGGAGAAATGTCTGTTCATGTCTTCTGTCCATTTCTTAACTGGATTATTTGGTTTTGGAGTGTTGAGTTTGATAAGGTCTTTATATATTTTGGATACTAGCCCTTTATCTAATAAGTCATTTGCAAATATCTTCTCCCATTCCATAGATTGCCTTTTAGTTTTGTTGATTGTTTCCTTCACTGTTCAGAAACTTATTATTTTGATGTATTCCCAATAGCTTATTTTTGCTTTTGTTTCCCTTGCCTCAAGAGACATATCTTAAAAGAAGCACTATGGCTGATGTCTAAGAAGTTACTGCCTATGTAAAATCTCTAGGATTTTTATGGTCTCCTGTCTCACATTTGGGTCTTTCATCCATTTTGAATTTACTTTTGTGTATGCTGTAAGAATGTGGTTCAGTTTCATTCTTCTCCACGTTGCTGTCCAGTTTTCTTTCCCAACACCGTTTGTTGAAGAGACTGCTTTTGTTTCCCCCCTTTGGATATTCTTTCCTGCTTTGCCAAAGATTAATTGCTCATATTACTGTTGGTTTATTTCTGTTTTTTCTATTCTGTTCTATTCTATGTGTCTACGTTGGTGTCAGTACCATACCATTGGATTACTACAGCTTTGAAAGATAACTTGGAATTGTGATGACTCCAGCTTCACTTTTCCTTTCCTGTGATTTGGTTATTCTGGGGTTTTCTGTGATTCTCTACAAGTCTTAGGATTATTTGTTCTAGTTCTGTGAAAAACACCATTGGTATCTTATAGGGATTGCATTAAACATATAGACTGCTTTGATAGTTTCAATCCATGAGCATTGAACGACTTTCCATTTCTTTGATGGTTATTTTTTTATTCCCAAGACTTTGAAGACATTGCACCACCCCTCAGGGTTGCGACCATTGTTGTTCAGAAGTCTGGTCTCTTCTCTCTGGGTGCTTTGAAGTCTTCTCATTTGCTTTGAGGGTCCAAATAACTACAAGGTCAACGCAGTATCCATTTAAATACTGCAACGCGCGGCGGCCGAGCGCACCACGTGCAGTGACGTGAAGGGGCCCCGTGGCCGAGCACGCCACAGCCTTCTGGAGCTCCAGGCTCTAAAATGGCAGAGCAACTTTCTCCCGGAAAGACCACAGACCAGGTGTGCACCTTCCTCTTTAAAAAGCCCGCTGGACGAAAAGGGGCTGCAGGCCGCAGAAAGCGCCGGGGCTGCGACCAGGAGCCGGGAGGCAGCGGCAGCGGCAGCGGCAGCGGCAGCGACGAAGGCAGCACGGTGGTTCGCCCCGAAAAGCAGCGGGCGATGGGCGATCCCATGATACAGACGACTCGGGGCCGCGGGGCACGGAAGGCCGCTTGCGGCCGCTTGAGCGGCGAGGAGGAGCGGGGGGAGGAGCCCGAGGCCCAGGGTGTGGGCGTGGCGTACAAGTCCGCCCGCTCGGCCACCCCCGCGGGACCAGGGGACATGGGGGCGACTGCTGTCTACGAGCTGGACACCGAGAAGGAGCGCGACGCGCAAGCCCTCTTTGAGCGCAGCCAGAAGATCCAGGAGGAGCTGAGGGGCAAGGAAGATGACAAGATCTATCGGGGAATCAATAATTATCAGAAATACCTGAAGCCCAAGGATACGTCTCTGGGCAGTGCATCCTCCGGGATGGGGAGGAAGGGCCCCATCCGGGCGCCCGAGCATCTGTGTGCCACCGTGCGCTGGGATTACCAGCCCGACACCTGTAAGGACTTCAAGGAGACTGGCTTCTGCGGCTTCGGAGACAGTTGCAAGTTCCTCCATGACCGTTCAGATCACAAGCACGGGTGGCAGATTGAACGTGAGCTTGAGGAGGGTCGCTACGGTGTCTATGGGGACGAAAACTATGAAGTGGGAAGCGATGATGGGGAAATACCATTCAGGTGTTTCATCTGTCGCCAGACCTTCCAGAATCCGGTTGTCACCAGGTGCAGGCATTATTTCTGCGAGAGCTGTGCACTGCGGCATTTCCGCACCACCCCTCGCTGCTATGTCTGTGACCAGCAGACCAACGGCGTCTTCAATCCAGCCAAGGAATTGATTGCAAAATTGGAGAAGCATCGAGAGGCAGAAGAGGGTGATGCTTCTGATTTCCCAGAAGACCTCGATGAGGGTCCCATCCCCATCACTTAATTTTCCTATTATTCTCACACCTCAGAATAAATCTTTTGTTTGGAAAAATAAAAAGTAAAAACAAACAAACAAATGAATACTGAAACGTATTTTTAAATGAAGTCATTTATTTTTCTGCTGGGGTTTTATTGTGTTTGCAGAATCTGAAGATTTGTGTCTTTCATCAGTTCCTGAAAATTCTGTAGAATTACTTCTTCAAGTAGTCTTTCTTCCTTAATTTTTATCCTATTCCTCTGAAATATCAAGGAAGGTAGGTTATATATTCTCATTTTAATTCCAGGTTGCCTTGCTTCTCATATTATCTATTCCTTAACTCTCTGTATTATATTTTGCTTCAGTTGACAAATCCATGCTTCAATTTACAAATTGTCTTCAATTTTATCTATTCTGATATTTAGCAGTCTTTTAGCATTTACAGCAATATTTGTATTTTTATATCTAGAAATTATACTAAGCTTTCTTCAAGTCTTTCTTTATAAATGCTGTCTTATCTTGTGTTTGTGTTTTTTTATTCCTTTCTGTTTTAAAACATATTAAGCAAATTTGTTTTATGTCTTTATTGAATAATTCTTTTATCTGGTGCTTTTGGGGGTCTAATTCTACCTTTTTATTTCTGTTGTCACTGATGGTAGTTTGTGTCTTATAATTTTAGATTATAATATCAACGTCATGTGGAATTTAGATGGGACGTTTCTTTGTGCCTCTGTTTGAGAGAGATTTGCTTTTGCTATAGTCAGGCACACAAAGATACTACCAAACAAAGGTCACTTTAAGGTAAATTCTCAAGTTAGGATTTTTCTGGATCACCCAATACATTTAGATCCCAAAACTATGAGCACAGGCTAATTGTACAAATTCTTAGAAGATAATTTTTGCTGTTTTTGTTTGTTTGGTTGGTTTTCACTGAAAGCCCAGGATAAGACTATCAAGTTTCCTTGTCTTCTCTTTTTGCAGGTACATGGAATTTTTTCTAGTCTGCCCTTTCACCAACATTGATTTTTAAGAACCCTAGTTTAAGCAGAAGCCTCAATTTCCATTCACCTCCTCATAACAACCCCTGCATGGTCATCAAAGCCAAAGCTCTAGGGTACTAAAATTGGCAGATACCCTCAGGACAGCTTTGACATCAACACTTGCTTACCATTCTGATTTTCTGTTCTCTCTTCACATATGGTCCCTGAGCATTTCCATTTCACCCTTCTTATTCCAACTGTTCATTTTAAAGAACATATGTTATAGTTTATCCAGCAGGTCTAAATACTTTGCAGTGGGACAGTTTTCAGGATATCTAATATGTCATATTGATAAATAGGTGTGTACATATAAATTTTAGATTTTGGGGATGATAATAAATTGTTTTCCAAGTGGATGCTCCTAATTACGGTCCTCTGGTGGAAAATAAATTGACATATGATACACTTCTCATTTCAAAAGTGTACAGTTTAATAAGTTTTAACATATGTATACCCCATGAGGCCATTACCACATTCAAGATAATGAATATTTTCATTACCCTCATAAGTTTGGCTGTTTCACATTTTGTTATTTTTTCCAGTTCATCATGTAGAAGATTTGGTTTTTAGCTTATTGTCCTTATTATAAAAAATTTTCTATATCTCTGCAACTAGATTTGCCAATCATTTACTCTATGGCTTCTTCTTTTTCTTTTTCATGCCATGCTAATGAAGAGCTATTCAAAGATTATTTATAAACTCACCCAAATTTGCTGCTTCTAATTTTTTATGATTTCATTTTTATACACTTACATTTTTAGGATTATTTCTTTTTGCACAGCAGTCCAAAACATTCTATGTAGTGACAAACCAGATTTTTAAGTCAAAGACATCAGAATGAACAGTCTCACTTAACACAAATTATTGAATTAACTCCAAATTAAAGAATTGCCTCTTCTATATTATCAGCTATCAAACCATAGAAGAGGTTAGAGTGGGTTCTGTTTCTCTTAGCACTTTTGTGAGGAATAGATTATTTTAATTCTAATTTGAGATCCATGTTTGGAAGCGTTTCTTTCAATATACCATTCATAAAGTTTGACATCGTATCTTATTTTAATTAACTGCTACTTTATTTCTTAACTGAAAACTTATTTTTATCAAGATTATAGAAAAAGGCAAAAAAAGAGAACAAAGTAATAAAAATATTAAAAGCTCATCACTATTTAAACTATATCAACTAAGCAATGACTTATGAGAAAATGTGTGTCTTAGTTTCTAGTTCTTTATTTGAAGGTGATTATTTCCAAAATTACTTCTTTTAAGCATTTCTTTACATCTCTTGAAGCCAAGAGTGTTACCTACTCCAGCCCAGGTAGGGACTTTACCATTTGACTATGCTTTGATTTTTCAGAAGTGGCATACAAACTTAAATTTTAAATGAATAGTATATCTAGCCCTGTTATAGTTCTCATTTTTAGTTTAATGAGTCTACTAGTAAATTCAGAGTGCTTAGTATACCCAGACACATTCTGGTTTTGTGTTTCTTTCTTTGAGGAGGAGGAGGAGGGGGAGGAATGGGTATGGTGGGGTAAGTTATGTAGAACTAGTGAAATGTTAGACCCAGGAGAAGATGTGTTGACAGTTTGTAACACATTGGAGCAGAGGCTTATTAACTCATGGAAGTTAATGTATTTCCTACTATTCAGCCCAGAAGGTTATAGAAGGAAAGGCACTAAGGAAAGAGAACAGTGAAAAACTTAATGGAGGAATAACTGGTGAGACTAGATAGAAATGAAATAAAATATAAGACAAAATTAGGTGGGGATATTTTAAGACAAGAAAAACTAAGCAGAAGATACATGAGGAATAAAAAGGGGAAAAGAGTTAAGAGGTGTGTTGAAAGCCTAAAAAATTTTTTAAAAGTCAAAGCTAGAAAAAGACAAAAGGAATTAGGAGAGAAAGGAAAAAAGAATTGGAAGGAAAAACAGTATGGATAAGAGTATAACAAAGCTAAAAGTGGAGAAAGACAGAGTGTGTGTAGGGACTGGCGTTGCAAAGGACACAGATTTACAGCACATTTTTGTAATTCCCTTTGGTCTGTGGGTTTCACCTTTGGTCACAAATAAATGTATTGCAACATGATAAACATGCCAACCACTTCATTAACAGAGCACCCACAGGCAGTATCTTTAAGGAAAGAATGCTACAAAATCATCCTTATAAAGTAATTTTGTATTATAGCAAATAAATCCTGATTTCTTTTGGTTTTGCTTGACCATAGAAACACTATTTTATGCTAAAAGGAATTTTTGACTCCCCTTAAGTCCTGAGCACTACAGAGCAAATTTCTGTCTCTTAAAAATATGTACTTTTAAATTTAAAAGCACATCATTTTGTTTAGCTTGTCTACTGCACTGATATACATAAAATAAAAACCTGCTTTTTTTTCTTCTGTGAATCACCTATTCAAGTCCTTGGCATGTTTTATCCAAGGATAGAAGAGAAGAATGTATGTTTCTGACATGAGAGTAAATGTTTAAATAACTCATAAGAAACACAGGTGATCTTTGCCTTTTAGAATTCTCATACAGGATTTGCTTTTGCTCCAGCATGTATCTTTTATTGAGAAGACAAATGTAGTAAGGCACATCCATGTTGCCTTTGCACTGGCTAGGTGTGTTCAATTCATAAAGTTGGTATATGTATAAGTAAATAAAAACCATCAAATATAAGCCCTATATATTCATTTATTTCATAAAAGGTATCAGAAATGTGTTCTCTTCAGGGAAGAATAGAAACTAACTTCTAATTTTGGGTAGCACATAGATACAGGGATATTTTGCCTCATTGCCTGCATTACTGAGTTTTAAGCCATATGTTCCTGGCTTTAGTTCACAATATTTACACCACTGGTGAGATGATAAAATCTGAGCACAGTGTGTCCTATTCAGACTTCATCCAATAACTCATTTTTATTTCAGAATATATTCATCACATTAAGTCATATGATTTAAGGAAACTTTTTTTAAGCCTGGCAGAAATACCACTCTGAGCCAAGATTACAGAAACAAAGTTTTCCTCTTCTATTTGTGTAAAAATGAATTAAAATGATAGTATCAAGAATAGAAGCAGCATTTATGTATTAATATATTTTTATCTTTCCTAAAGTGTAGGATTTGAATATATTTCCTATTCTGGGTTCTGGCAACTGAATTATTTCCTCCCCTACGCATTTCCATATCCCACACACATCCTCTAGCCCTCATGTTCCACTTAATTGGAAGGGAGAATGCAGGGAAACCAAATGACATTCTTGTATCAGTGTGCTCTTCTACTACTAACTCCAGAAAGAGACACAGATGCCCTGACAGCAGTTTGGCCCAGAGTCTTCTCCATTCATCCACTGCAATATGGTGCATGAGCAATTGCTCTGTTTCAGATCACAGAAACTAAATTATCTTTGGAATTAACAAGTAGCATTACCTCCACTGCCTCTTATTTTTCACCCATTACCTATCTTGAAAACTTCTAAAGGTTGAAGCCTGTGGATGAATTTAGTCAGCAACGACATGAAATCTCATGAAATCTCTCATTTTTAATCTCTTCACTGCATAGTCTGCCTTTTAAAAACTTGAATTAATGTCATGGATAGTCTAATTTGATTTTTAAGTATCATTGTATATATTATAAATCATCATACATATATATCATTATAGGTAATCATTGTTGTATCTCGTTATATATGAAATCACACTGGTCTTTCTGAGAAGCTCTAAATGAACTAAAAGTATTTCCAAGTCATAGAATTTTAGAAGATTATAGTGATTTACAAGTTTTGAAAATCATGTTTCAAAAGAAAACTTGTCAGACTAGCAATTAGCTAAAATGATTTTCTGATTCTTATGCCTTGCCATTCTACCACATGGCCTTTTTCTACCATCTAGAAGGCAAACTGCTTGAAATATGAATCATTACTGCCTGTTGATTTTATTGGACTCAACATAAGACAGATGTTTAGTAAGTTTTAATAAATCATTATTAATA